AAAAATTTAAGTTTAGATTTATTTTATTGGTAAACTTTTACATATTAAAAGACCTACTTAAAAACTTTAAGTTTAGAATTATTTTATTGGTAAACTTTTATATATTAAAAGACCTACATACACATCCCCTATGATCTTGACCTTGATATATTATCGAAGTTATATCTCTGGGTGTTTACGATAATTCGAGTTGGAGTTAGTACGAGTTAGTTTCACTAGAGCCGAAAAATATGATAGGCACAAGCATCTAGTATTTTCATGATTCATGACAACTCAATGCTGTCCGATAAATCGAGTAGAGTTAGGATAACATAGTGGATAGTATATGTATAAGAATTAACAATATCAGGTAACATAGTTTCGTAAAATATATAACAATAATATTACGAATCAATGAGTTGTTACATTTTAGAAAAATTAGAAGCACTAAATTAAATTATGAAAAGATATCATGTATTTGTAAAATATTCAAAAGTAGAAAACAATTATTCTAACCTATTATTAATCTGTTATTATTGAATATTTCACAAATACATGATATCTTTTCATAATTTAATTTAGTGCTTCTAATTTTTCTAAAATGTAATAAATCATTGTTTCGTAATATTATTGTTATATATTTTACGAAACTATGTTACCTGATACTGTTAATTCATATACTATCCGCTATACTACCCTAACTCTACTCGATTTATCGGACAGCATTGAGTTGTCATAAATCATGAAAATATTAGATGTTGTATCTATCATATTTCTCGGCTCTGGTGAAACTAACTCGTACTTACTCCAACTCGAATTATCGTAAACAGCCTCTGAGTAACCTACAAAAAGTTGTAGTCGTCACACTCTTCGTTTATTAAAAAAATATTCAAAGAATTTTTATAGATGAAACGTAATTTTTGCACACAGTAGCCGCGTTCCGTTTCACGTATATGTGCGCATTTATCTACAGTTTACCTCAACCTGTTCTACGTCCCCATAAAATGCCGGGTGGGACCCGATTGACCACGATACGATTGGACACAGATTGTAATGATTGGTTCGACCTAGTAATTCACTAAATAATTCTTTTCATCGGTTGGTTGTGTCCAGTCGTATCGTGGTCAATCGGGACGCTCCCCAAAATGCCTAGAGGAGAGTGTGAGACACCCTGTATACAGGGTGTCCCGCATAAGGGCCCTTGCAGTATGCCAGGCAACAGGCAATAGGAATAGAGAATAGAAATTCTGATTGGTCAATTTTTTCTATTCCTTGTTCCTATTGGCTATTGCCTGTTCCTATTGCCTGTTGCCTCGCATTTTGCAAGGGCCCTAAGACGTGCCAAAAGAAAAATATAAGTAGAACAGATAAAGGGTGCGTTCGAAAACATCACCCGTGTGTATTTTGTCACACTCAGATCGTTCGAAAACCCCTAGTGGGCACACTGACCATGCGACCATGGCCGTTCGAAAACCGTACTCCGTGGACCACTCGTGTGACTTTTCTCCACTCTCTTTTGCGCGGTGTGAATCGGTGGAGATGGTGGAGAGTGCGCAAAGAGTGCAATACAGTATGAAATTACTAAATTATTTATGGTTTTTTGTTCTTCGAAACATTCGTACAACCATTAGCCATCACGGTAAGATAAAAAATTTAAATACAGCAGTGTAGGTTAGCCAGGTTTAGGTTTATTTCTATAGTGATGTATATTGTCAGAATATTGTCTTTAAATATAAATAAAGCTTATTAAGCTTTTTGTATTTTATAGGTTCTGAAATTTTCTTACGAGATACGAGGCACGTTAAAAGTCGCGAATCAGTAACAATTTGTTAAAAAAAATGGAAAATTTCATCCCGGGTCGTCATATTTTATGCATGGATATTAAAAAAAATATACAAAAGGATGACAAGGGAAATGTCTATATATACGATGTTAAAGGTAAGGAGTAATAAATAAGTTTATAAATTTCCTTAGGCCTGGTGCCCACGATGCTAGAAATCGATCCGAGTTCTCGGACCGAGGAATATATAATCAATTAACTTTCCAGATAACTAAATTATAAATTAATAATTATTAAATTAATTAATTAATTAATTACTAAATTTATTAATTTATTATTATTTTGCTGAGAAGCAATTATAGCTAATGTCGAAATACGTTTTCGATCATTTTGTACAACATATGTAGGCACAACACACATGTAGTATGTCACATTGAGCATTCTTTCATGGCTGTTCGAAAACTCCTCTCGATACCAACTCCACTAACCCCACCAAGCTCATCCATCACAGCCACTTTCCGTCGTGGACTTTCAGTGTTTTCGAACGCACCCAAAAGCGAACAAAAATTGTAGAGATCATTTTTCAAACAACTACGTAAAATTTCGAGATATTAATAGAAATAGTTGGACAAATTAGAGCGCGCAACGCGACAAGTGGGACATGTGACTCGCCGCGGCCGGCGAAGAAAATAGACGAGCGCACACGTATGCACACACGGAGCTATCCATTTCCATATGCCAAATGACCCGCGAGCAATCGTCCATTTTTTTTTCGCCGGCCGCGAATACGATCCGTATATCCCGCCTGCCGCGTTCTGATATGTCCAAATATTTTAATTAATATCTCGAAATTTTACGTGATTGTTTGAAAAATGACCTCTATAATTTTTGTTCACTTTTATCTGTTCTACTTATATTTTTCTTTTGGCACGTCTTACGCGGAACGGTCTTGTGTATATATACACAAAATAAATATTATAATTTTTAATGATTTTAGCGAATATTTGAATCTCTCAATTGTCGATAATACAGAATGTTTATTTTTTTTTGGAGAAATATTTTTAACCCTTGTGTGCGCACCCGGTTACCCGGGTGCCCACCATAGAAAAATTCAATTTTGAGTGAACTATTAGCTTTTTTTATTAATTTATTTGATTTATGCATGTGAAATGAGTTGCGTAATAAGAAAATACATGAAAATTTATTTAAAAAACAAAAAAAACATTTATTTATTGCATTCTATGCACTTGGCAAAAGTTATCGCATGTTCATCGCAAATAGGCCTATCACATTCGGAGCAGGCCTTTCGTGTTTTCCTTCTCTTCTTAATTGTTTGTTTGTAACAAATATGGCAGGAACCGATAACTTTCTTCCTTCCTGATGCATCTCGTTGAACTGACGGATCTGGATCAGCCTCCACTGGATTTACTGGCCGACCGATTACACTTTCAATAGCGATCTTGGTGCTATAATTTCTCATTATTTGCACGTTATGATAT